CGTCATCCTCCACCCCATCGTCATCCTCCATTCTATCGTTGTCCCCCACTCCATCGTCATCCTCCACTCCATCGTCATCCTCTAATCCATCGCCATCCTCCAATCCATCGTCATCCTCCATCATGATCATCCTCTATCATCGTTGTCCTCCACCCCATCGTCATCCCAATCCATCGTCATCCTCCACTCATCGTTGTCCACCCCATCGTCATCCTCCACCCCATCGTCATCCTCCCTCCATCGTCATCCTCTAATCCATCGTTGTCCTTCACCCCATCGTCATCATTCACTCCATCGTCATCCTTCACTCCATCGTCATCCTCCACCCCATCCTCATCCTCTAATCCATCGTTGTCCTCCACTCCATCGTCATCCTCCACTCCATCGTCATCCTCTAATCCATCGTTGTCCTCCCTCCATCGTCATCCTCCACCCCATCGTCATCCTTTACTCATCGTCATCCTCCACTCCATCGCCATCCTCCTCCATCGTCATCCTCCCTCCATCGTCATCCTCACCCCCATCGTTGTCCCCCAACTCCATCGTCATCCTCCATCCATCGTCATCCTCCTCCATCGTCATCCTCTAATCCATCGTTGACCTCCCACTCCATCGTCATCCTCCATCATCGACATCTTCTAATCCTTCGTTGTCCACCCCATCGTTGTCCTAACTCCATCGTCATCCTCCCTCCATCTCGTCATCCTCCACTCATCGTCATCCTCTAATCCATCGTTGTCCTCAATCCATCGTCATCCTCCACTCCATCGTTGTCCCCCACCCCAACGTCATCCTCCACCCATCGTCATCCTCCACTCCATCGTCATCCTAATCCATTGTTTCCTTCACTCCATCGTCATCCTCCACCCCATCATCATCCCTCCACTCCATCGTCATCCTCCACTCCATCGTCATCTTCTATCCATCGTTGTCCTTCACCCCATCGTCATCCTCCACCCCATCGTCATCCTCCACCCCATCATCATTCCTCCGTCATCCTCCACTCCATCGTGTACTCCACTCCATCGTCATCCTCCACTCCATCGTCATCACTCCACCCCATCGTTGTCCCCCACCCATCGTCATCCTCCCACTCCATCGTCGTCCTCCACCCCATCATTATCCATGTTCCCTCCTCATTGCCCACTCCATCGTCATCCTCCATCCATCGTCATCTCCACCCCATCGTTGTCCCCACCCCATCGTCATCCTCCACTCCATGTGATCATCCCTCCTCCATCGCCATCCTCCACCCCATCATCCTCCTCCATCGTCATCTTCTAATCCATCGTCATCCTCCACCCCATCGTCATCCTCCACCCCATCGTCATCCTCCACTCCATCATCATCCCCTCCACTCCATCACTGTCCTTCTATCGTCATCCTCCACTCCCATCGTCATCCCCTCCACTCCATCGTTTGTCCTCCACTCCATCGTTGTCCCCACCCCATCGTCTCCTCCACTCATGTCATCCTCCATCCAAGTCTCCTCCACTCCATCGTCATCTTCTAATCCATCGTCATCCTCCACCCACATGTATCCTCACCCCATCGTCATCCTTCACTCCATCGTCATCCTCCACTCCATCGCCATCCTCCCACCCCATCGTCATCCTCCACTCCATCGTCATCCTCCCCTCCATCGTTGTACTCCCACTCCATCGTTGTCCCCACCCCATCGTCATCCTCCACTCCATCGTTGTCCCCACCCATCGTCATCCTCCTCCATCGTCATCCTCCACTCCATCGTCATTCCTCCCTCCATCGCCATCCTCCCACCCCATCGTCATCCTCCACTCCATCGTCATCTCCCCTCCATCGTTGTCCTCCACTCCATCGTCATCCTCCACCCATGTGTCCTCCACTCCATCGTCATCCTCCACTCCATCGTCATCCTCCACTCCATCGTCGTCCTCACCCCATCGTCTCCCTCACTCCATCGTCATCCTCCACCCCATCGTCATCCTCCCTCCATCGTCATCCTCCACTCCATCATCGTACTTCACTCCATCGTTTGCCCCCACTCCATCGTTACTCCTCCATCGTTGTCCTCCACCCCATCGTCATCCTCCACCCCATCGTCATCCTCCACCCATCGTCATCCTCCACTCCATCGTCATCCTCCACCCCATCGTCATCCTCCACTCCATCGTCATCCTCCACTCCATCGTTGCCCCCACCCCATCATTGCCCCCCACTCCATCGTCGTCCTCCACCCCATCGTCATCCTCCACCCATCGTCATCCTCCACCCCATCGTCATCCTCCACTCCATCGTCATCCTCCACCCCATCGTCATCCTCCACTCCATCGTCATCCTCCACTCCATCGTTGCCCCCCACTCCATCGTCATCCTCCCTCCATCGTCATCCTCCACCCCATCGTCATGCTCCCTCCATCGTCATCCTCCTCCATCATTGCCCCCACTCCATCGTCGTCCTCCACCCCATCCGTCATCCTCCACCCCATCGTCATCCTCCACCCCATCGTCATCCCCCTCCACTCCATCGTCATCCTCCACCCCATCGTCATCCTCCCACTCCATCGTCATCCTCCACTCCATCGTTGCCCCCCACTCCATCGTCATCCTCCACTCCATCGTCATCCTCCACCCCCATCGTTCATCCTCCTCCATCGTCATCCTCCTCCATCAGTTGCCCCCCTCCATCGTCATCCTCCACTCCATCGTCATCCTCCACCCCATCGTCATCCTCCACTCCATCGTCATCCTCCACTCCATCATTGCCCCCCCTCCATCGTCATCCTCCACTCCATCGTCATCCTCCACCCATCGTCATCCTCCACCCCATCGTCATCCCCTCCACTCCATCGTCATCCTCCACCCCATCGTCATCCTCCACTCCATCGTCATCCCCTCCACTCCATCATTGCCCCCCCACTCCATCGTCATCCTCCACTCCATCGTCATCCTCCACTCATCGTCATCCTCCACCCCATCGTCATGCTCCACTCCATCGTCATCCTCCCACTCCATCGTTGTACTCCACCCCATCGTCATCCTCCACTCCATCGTCATCCTCCACTCCATCGTTGCCCCCACCCCATCATTGCCCCCACTCCATCGTTGTCCTCCACCCCATCGTCATCCTCCCACTCCATCGTCATCCTCCACTCCATCGTTGCCCCACCCATCATTGCCCCCACTCCATCGTTGTCCTCCACCCCATCGTCATCCTCCACCCCCATCGTCATCCTCCACTCCCATCGTCATCCTCCACTCCATCATTGCCCCCCACTCATCGTCATCCTCCACTCCATCGTCATCCTCCACCCCATCGTCATGCTCCACTCCATCGTCATCCTCCACTCCATCGTTGTACCTCCACTCCATCGTTGCCCCACTCCATCGTTGTCCTCCACCCCATCAGTCATCCTCCCTCCATCGTCATCCTCCACTCCATCGTCATCCTCCACCCCATCGTCATCCTCCCTCCATCGTCATCCTCCACTCCATCGTTGCCCCCCACCCCATCATTGCCCCCCCAATCCATCGTTGTCCTCACCCCATCGTCATCCTCCACTCCATCGTTTGCCCCACCCCATCATACCCCACTCCATCCATTGCCTACATCGTTGTCCTCCCCCATATCATGCTCCACCTCATCCCCCATTTTCCTTCCCATTATCAACACCTGCCTCATCTTACACCTACTCTCCTCTCAGTGTTGACGAGGCCAAGTTAATGAACTCATAATGCTGCATAATATGTACATTAATCCTTCTATATTGCAGATCGTTGCAGATTGTTGTAATTGTTGTTGTACCTACCCCAAAACCCTAATCCAAAAACTCATAATACCTTATAATCCTTGTGTGTGTATTTTCCATATCCTGTATCCTAATCCAAGCTTCTAAATATGTGTGCTCTGGTCTGGTGTATAATCCAAATCATTAATATAATTTGACCCAGAATAATTTAAAACTTGTATGTTGACCTGTAGTATAATCCATATCTCCCATGTACTATTGTCTTGTAATATAATCCTCCAACACCCTCCCACTGTAATATCCTCTCCTCCCTCTCCCGTACCAACACCCTCCCACTGTAATATCCTCTCCTCCCTCTCCCGTACCAACACCCTCCCACTGTAATATCCTCTCCTCCCCCTCCCATATCAACACCCTCCCACTGTAATATCCTCTCCTCCCTCTCCCATATCAACACCCTCCCACTGTAATATCCTCTCCTCCCTCTCCCATATCAACACCCTCCCATGCACATCCCCTCCCTCCTCTCCCATACCAACAACACCTCCCACTGCACATCCTCTCCTCCTCTCCTATACCAACACCCTTCCACCCTCCTTCAACCTCTCCCCCCCACACTGTAATGTCCTCCTCTCCCATACCCTTACCCTTCCACTCCCCCCCACACTGTAATGTCCTCTCCTCCCCACACCATCAGCCTCCCACTCTCCCTCACCTCAACAGTAAGGGCGGTCATATGTGGAGAAGTGCACCGCAGAGTCACCGTGAGCACCACCACCTGTTCCCTCCTGATGGGGAAGGCATTCATCGGCTGCAAGTTGGTGTGTTATGTTTTAAATCATGTCAACATAAGTCTTCACAGTGTTCACCCTGGCGGAGTTAGTGCATACAAACCTCTTTAATATGATACTGTAGGCGTCTAGCTACAGTAATCAGTCTTTATAGTTTATATTACCTACAATATAATATATTGAGAAAACATTAATGATACTTGCAGTAGAGACTGGGTGGGTCGCCCTGCTACAGTGGAGCCCCGACCTGTGCATCAATATCTTTACCAGGTCGAGTCTGTGTGTGTCTATGAATCTAAGGAAAAATTTAGTGGACAAAAAAAGAAAAAAAGATAAACGGTTCATACCTCAACCAGTACTATTTCTGATGGATCATTACGGTATTGGCTACATCTCCATGTAGTTCATCCCCGTAATGTAAGAACGCCCCTCAATCAGATCCACATTACACTGTCAGCGAGTAACCTTGATTGTTTGGCAGAGTGCGGTGATGACCTACAGTCCCTGGTGGTGCCGGACATCAAGGCAAAACACAACACCATCAACACAACTTGCTGGTGACTACAGATACTTATCTTGCAGCACTACGGAGGCTCAGTGACGGTAAACAAGACAATGTACGTTTATAATATTGTAACAGTGTAAAGGAAACATCCAGGTGAACTCATTTTAGTATCAAAAGATTGCGCCTGTGATCTACAAGAGGGGAATGTATAGTGCGTGTGTTTAGATAAGCGGTGACGTATATAATAAGATTCAGGTTTTATCCTGACTAAAAAAGCTTTAATGTTTTTCTTATTAATTCATGAAGAGAGCCGAGGAAATTTAACGCACAAAACACCTGATCAGGGAACTATGAATTAAGAGCTAAAACTAATAGATGTTTTTAAACTGTTTCTTCGGCTGTCAGTACTGTACCTTCTTGGTTTAAAACTTTAAATAAATAATAAATACAAAACGAATATAAAAAACCTAAGATATTCGTTGTATTCAGGGAGTTATGAAAGAGTTGTATTATTATATTGTATCTTTTCTCTCTTAGGTTTGTGTATTGCTTCACCAAGCACTGTGATGCAGCGAGGGACTTCCTCATGTCTGTCAGCCGCGACTCCTACCATGTCAGCCGCGACTGTCACCCTTGATCAACCTTACAAGAACAACACAATTACATGTGACTAAAACTGTGACATATGTGACCATGTGAATATGACTATGTGCCATAATATGTGACAACGTGACAGACTGTGTGATATGTGACTACGTGACAGACTGTGTGACATGTGACCACATGATAGAATGTGTGACATATGTGACTACATGATAGACTGTGTCATGACCACGTGACACTGTGACATATGACCACGTGACACACTGTGACATGACCACGTAACAGACTGTGTGCCATGTGAACACGTGACAGACTGTGTAACATGACCACGTCACAGACTGTGTGACATGACCACGCCACAGACTATCCCATATGTGACCACGTGACACTGTGATATGTGACCACGTGACAGACTGTGTGCCATATGACCACGTGACAGACTGTGTGACATTACCACGTGGCATACTGTGTGACATGACGTGACAGACTGTGCCATATGTGACCACGTGACAGACTGTGTGCCATATGATCACGTGACAGACTGACATATTTGACCACGTGACAGACTGTGACATGTGACCACGTGATCGAGACAGAGTGATACATATAAGAGACTTTGTAACATGTGATTGTAGGAGCCTGTATTATACATATGTGTGTGTGTTAAGGCTGGCATATATGACCATTACACCTGACTGTGAAAAGCGTGAGCAAGACACCGTGACACATGTGACTACCTCACGACTGGGACACATGATGAACGACTATGAGAGTGAGACACGGGTGACTATGAAACAGTAGGACACATACGACTGAGACTGACACAGGGGACTATGACACATACCACTACATGACAGTATGACACAGGGGACTATGATACAAACTACTACATGACAGTATGACACACGGGACTATGACACAAACCACTACATGACAGTATGACACACGGGACTATGACACAAACCACTACATGACAGTATGACACACGGGACTGACACAAACCACTACATGACAGTATGACACACGGGACTATGACACAAACCACTACATGACAGTATGACCGGGACTATGCACAAACACTACATGACAGTATGACACACGGGACTATGACTGAAACCACTACATGACAGTATGACACACGGGACTATGACACAAACCACTACATGACAGTATGACACACGGGACTATGACACAAACCACTGACATGACTATGACACAGGGGACTATGACACAAACCACTACATGACAGTATGACACACGGGACTATGACACAAACCACTACATGACAGTATGACACACGGGACTATGACACAAACCACTACATGACAGTATGACACAGGGGACTATGACACAAACCACGACATGACAGTATGACACACGGGACTATGACACAAACCACTACATGACAGTATGACACACGGGACTATGACACAAACCACTACATGACAGTATGACACAGGGGACTATGACACATACCACTACATGACAGTATGACACAGGGGACTATGACACAAACTACTACATGACAGTATGACACAGGGGACTATGACACATACCACTACATGACAGTATGACACAGGGGACTATGACACAAACTACTACATGACAGTATGACACAGGGGACTATGACACAAACTACTACATGACAGTATGACACAGGGGACTATGACACAAACTACTACATGACAGTATGACACAGGGGACTATGACACATACCACTACATGACAGTATGACACACGGGACTATGACACAAACCACTAGATGACAGTATGACACAGGGGACTATTGACACAAACCACTACATGACAGTATGACATACGGGACTATGACACAAACCACTACATGACAGTATGACACGGGACTATGACACATACCACTACATGACAGTATGACACACGGGACTATGACACAAACCACTACATGACAGTATGACACAGGGGACTATGACACATACCACTACATGACAGTATGACACAGGGAACTATGACACATGGTGTTCATAAGTTGTCAACCAAACACAATGAAAGTCAATAAGTTTTGTTTTGTGTGATATTCCTGTATCACGACGATAAGTGCGTCGCCAAGTACCTGTATAGAATGTGTATGTGTTTATTTATGTGGCTATGGCCGTGTATATACTTACATATGATCATAACTATTTTATTTGCCTCAGTGTACATAAAAACATAAAGAATGGAGGAAACTGCAGCGGGCCATACTGGGCAGTCCCATTTACACCCAACTCCTATCGCTCATATATCCATCCAACCTATGTTTGAAGCTATCCAAGGTTATCGAGTTACTTGAATCTGATAGTAACACAAATAATGAATTACTGAGGAAGAATTATGGAGATAAAGTAAATATTAATACAAATACCACATATTATTATAGTCAGTAGCTGTTGGCTGGTCACTAGAGGACAGTGGTCGGCGGGGAAAGGTGGTCACTAGCATACATTGGTCACCATTAACTCATCTGAATCAAGTCATCAACCACTACACCCTGACTTGACCTGTGTGTGTGTGTGACCGTCAAGTCATCCACCACTACACCCTGACCTGACCTGACCTGTGTGTGTGGCCGTCAAGTCATCCACCACTACACCCTGACCTGACCTGTGTGTGTGGCCATCAAGTCATCCACCACTACACCCTGACCTGACCTGTGTGTGTGGCCATCAAGTCATCCACCACTACACCCTGACCTGTGTATGTGGCCGTCAAGTCCTCCACCACTACAACCTGACCTGTGTATGTGGCCATCAAGTCATCCACCACTACACCCTGACCTGACCTGACCTGTGTGTGTGTGGCCGTCAAGTCATCCACCACTACACCCTGACCTGTGTATGTGGCCGTCAAGTCCTCCACCACTACACCCTGACCTGACCTGTGTGTGTGGCCGTCAAGTCATCCACCACTACACCCTGACCTGACCTGTGTGTGTGGCCATCAAGTCATCCACCACTACACCCTGACCTGACCTGTGTGTGTGGCCATCAAGTCATCCACCACTACACCCTGACCTGACTTGTGGGTGTGGCCATAGTGAAGATTATATGGCGTTAGGTGACTGAGTCTTGATACATATTATCTAAACCACAAACCTACTCGACAAGGATGACTCAAGAAATATTAACTACGTACTGTATATCCCTATAAGAACAGATCTTAGTAAAGTATCGAGTGTACATAAGAATAGAGGAAACTGCAGCGGGCCTATTGGCCAATACTGGGCAGTCCCTATTGCTCATATATCCATCCAACCTATGTTTAAAGCTATCCAGTGTATTCGAGTTAATGATGATGTTTGGTAACTTGCTCCATTCATCCGCTACTCTATTTCCAAACAAATGGTTACCTATCTCGCACCTAAATCTAAATTTGTCTAATTTAAAACCATTGCTACGAGTTCGCTCCTGTTTGGATAGTTTGAGGACCTTTGTTATATCACCTTTGTTTAGCCCTGACTTCCATTTATACACCTCGAATATATCGCCCCTCACTCTACGTCTTTCGAGGGAGTGCAAATTAAGATGCTTTAACCTGTCTCTGTACTCAAGGTTCCTAATGCCCGGGATTATTCTTGTCATTCTCCTCTGAATGCTTTCTAGGGATTATATATCCATTCTGTAGTACGGTGACCCGAACTGAATTGTGCAATCCAAGTGAGGTCACAAAAGCGCAAGATATAGTTTGAGGATGATCTCTCTAATCCTGTAACTAACACTCCTTTGTATGAACCCAAGTACTTTGTTAGCCTTGTTTCGACTTCTCAATCTTTCTCCTGACCTAAACGACGCAATAATTCTCAGTTGCACCGATGTCTGGCTTCATTTATTAAAGGTTCTAATATAGATAAATATAGTCTTACTTCACCTACCAACGCCTCTGGCCCCTACAAGTGTGTTGGTGTTTTAACCCCTTGTGTACGTGGAGAGGGGGGGGGGGGTGTTAGATAAATAAAGTGTTAAAAGCGGCGTCCTGTAGTGAAGGTGTTAGTGTATAAACTGTGTTCTGGTCTAGACCAATCACATCATCACGTGACCCTAAACAATCATACACAGAAAACAAACATTATCTAACCTCGACTATACCATGTGACCTATACCATATACGAGTATACACTGACATAAACCACCACGTTATCTTGACCACTCACACACTAAAGCACCACGTTATCTTGACCACTCACACACTAAACCACCACGTTATCTTGACCACTCACACACTAAAGCACCACGTTATCTTGACCACTCACACACTAAACCACCACGTTATCTTGACCACTCACACACTAAACCACCACGTTATCTTGACCAATCACACACAGTATAAGGAGAGCATTACGACACAGACACACACACACACACACACACACTCTCTCCTCAACCAAATGTTAAGAAAGCGAGATAACAATGAAGACAGCGGCAGGTCAGCCACTGGGAGACTTATTTACCTGTACTTATTTATGTGTGAGTCTTACTTGTGTGTTGTAAATGTTTCTCTAGATCAGGGGTTCTCAACCAGGGGGGAATTCCCCCCAGGGGGGGAATTCAGGTTTTCAGGGGGGGGAAACTGATTCGGGAGCAAGAGATATGTTCGATGAGAAATCAATCACAGAATTTTGGCCCTTGATGTGCGATTCCTACCCAAAAGTGGCAGAAAGAGCTATCCGTGCATTGCTTCCGTTTGTGTCGACATATCTTTGTGAGTCAGGCTTTTCAACTCTGTTGCAAATTAAAACGAAGCAACGTAGTAGATTAGAGGTAGAAAATGACCTGCGTTGTGCCCTTTCAAGCACTCCTCCGCGTATCCCAGAATTGGCGAAGAAAAAACAATCACAGGTTTCTCATTGACTGTAATCTTCATCTGAATAAAATTAATTACAAATTTACAATATCCTGGTATTCTATTGAACTTTTTGTTTATTGCATTATGCTTCAGTTTGGTCTGTTAAGTAATTCATTATAAATATAAAAAAAACTATTTTACTTTTATTCAAGTTTTATAAATCCATCAACATTTTCAATTGGCATTTAATTTGTAAAACTCCACTATAAATATAATCCATGTAAAATTGTAAATGTATATGTACTAATATGGAAAAAATAAAGGATTTTCAGTATTATATTCATATTATTTGGAATGCACTTTTTGAGGCAGACAATCTTGGAAAGGAGGGGGGAATGACATTATGACATAATAATAATAATAATAATAATAATAATAATAATAATAATTAACGGTTTATTGAAAGAGCTTGGCAGCCAGAAGGCTGAAAATATACAGTTACATATTTGGGGAATGGGTTACGAGTTACAAATAATATACAAGTGACATAAGTGACATAAATAAGACATATAATAACTTAGATGGGGATCAGCTCAAACTACAGTTCATTTCAACATAGTGACAGTGTAGGGAGCAGCGTTTACTGGGAGTGAATACACTGATTTATTACATGTTATTGATAATTTTTACAATGGTTGGGACTGGGCATAGGGGTGCATGGGGCAAACGAGGTTGAGAACCACTGCTCTAGATGATTTATTTATCATTTATGTTATTTAATGTTACCATATAATGAGTAGTGGTGTTATGGCGCTGTATTATAATGACTATGGTGTTATGGTGCTGTTATAATGACTGGTGTTATGATGACTATGGTGTTATGGTACTGTATTATAATGACTGGTGTTTTCTAGTGTAATAATGACTATGGTGTTATAGTACAATGGGTTACCGTGATCATGGTGGTATGGTAACATGTCTTATGGAAGCACCTGTAACCTTAGTACCCACCATAACCTACAGTGACCATGGTAACTAACCACGTCTCTCTCTCTCTCTCACCTTTCCTCCCCTCCTCACGACTCTTCCTCTTGACTGAGTGTGTACCAAAAGACCCTGTGACCTATTGGGGGTGTGTGTGTGTTACCCACTTCTCACCTTCAGGGTTACCTTATCTCTGTCCCTAACACCCATACACACACTCCACCTGCCCAATCACAGTACCGAGAGAGAGAGAGAGAGAGAGAGAGAGAGAGA